TTGTTACTTAGGGCCACAGAACCGTTACTTAGGGCCACAGAATTGTTACTTAGGGCCACAGAAACGTTAATCAGGGACACAGAATTGTTACTGAGGGCCACAGAACCGTTACTTAGGGCCACAGAATTGTTACTCAGGGACACAGAATTGTTACTGAGGGCCACAGAACTGTTACTTAGGGCCACAGAATTGTTACTCGGACAGACACAGAATTGTTACTCAGGGACACAGAATTGTTACTGAGGGCCACAGAACCGTTACTTAGGGCCACAGAAACGTTAATCAGGGACACAGAATTGTTACTGAGGGCCACAGAACCGTTACTTAGGGCCACAGAAACGTTACTCAGGGACACACAGAATTGTTACTGAGGGCCACAGAACCGTTACTTAGGGCCACAGAATTGTTACTCAGGGGACACAGAATTGTTACTCTTGAGGGACACAGAATTGTTACTGAGGGCCACAGAATTGTTACTTAGGGTTACACACAGAATTGTTACTCAGGGCCACACAGAATTGTTACTGAGGGCCACAGAAACCGTTACTTAGGGCCACAGAAATTTACTCACAGACAGACACAGAATTTACTTTCTTGAGGGACAGGGACAGAATTGTTTTTACTGAGGGCCACAGAACCGTTACTTAGGGCCACAGAAACGTTAATCAGGGACACAGAATTGTTACTGAGGGCCACAGAACCGTTACTTAGGGCCACAGAATTGTTACTCAGGGACACAGAATTGTTACTGAGGGACACAGAATTGTTACTGAGGGCCACAGAATTGTTACTTAGGGACACACAGAATTACTTACTGGGGTTACTGAGGGCCACAGAACCGTTACTTAGGGCCACAGAAACGTTACTCAGGGACACAGAATTGTTACTGAGGGCCACAGAAACCGTTACTTAGGGCCACAGAAACGTTACTCAGGGACACAGAATTGTTACTGAGGGCCACAGAATTGTTACTTAGGGCCACAGAATTGTTACTCAGGGACACAGAATTGTTTCTTGAGGGACACAGAATTGTTACTGAGGGCCACAGAACCGTTACTTAGGGCCACAGAAACGTTACTCAGGGACACAGAATTGTTACTGAGGGCCACAGAACCGTTACTTAGGGCCACAGAACGTTAATCAGGGACAGACACAGAATTGTTACTACTGAGGGACACAGAATTGTTACTGAGGGCCACAGAAACCGTTACTTAGGGCCACAAACGTTAATCAGGGGGACACAGAATTGTTACTGAGGGCCACAGAAACGTTACTTAGGGCCACATAATTGTTACTCAGGGACAGACACAGAATTGTTACTGAGGGACACAGAATTGTTACTGAGGGACACAGAACCGTTACTTAGGGCCACAGAATTGTTACTCAGGGACAGACACAGAATTGTTACTCAGGGACACAGAATTGTTACTCAGGGACACAGAATCGTTGAATTAAAGAGTATGTCAGACAACATGCAGAGGAGTGGCAGAGGAGGCAATGTTTTAGGAGCGAGCAGACGTGGCAGCAGAGGAAGGGGTCGAGGCAGCACTATTCGCAGCCAGAGGCCAGTGCTCCCGGTGTCATCCAGCGGTCGTGTCTCCACCGACAACCCTGCCGTCATCGATTGGTTGGCTCGGTCGTCTTCCTCTTCCCAGGTCACCTCTGACACCTACAGCCAACGGTCGGTGGGTACGTCAGACACAACCGTTAGTTGGCATGGCCCGGGACCAAGCCCACTGAAATCACGTGTCCTCTACCTGCCCCTGTCCTTTGGTGTTCCCTCACCAAGCGAAGTATCGCATGCTGTGGGCTCAGCCCCACTGTACAGTGAGGAAGAGCTAACAGAGGGCGGTCAGGAACGGGGGGAGACATCCGCCTTTTCAGCAGCCAGGCGAAGAAGTAGTGGCGAGGAGAGTGGCTCGGTAGCCGGTCTAGAGACAGGTCTGTCTCCTGACCCAGACGCAGCCGAGGGGGCTAGTAGTGAGGCGGAGACCCTACTTGATGATGAGGAGGTTGATCGCACTTGGCAGCCTCGTCGTCATCAGGCAATTTCTTCCGCATCATCAGGAGAAGAGGGTGGCAGCTTGGCAGCGAGCGAAACAGTCGGTGGGTTGCCCAGGAGACAGCAGCAGGGTCGCAGCAGTGTGTCAGTGGAGCCAAACGGCCACGGAGTAGAGAGCACCAGCTCCACTGCAGCCTACCACCACGGCCAGTAGTGGTGCCGGTGTGCACGGAGGAAGCAGCAGTCAGCCAGTGAGGAGTATCGGGGGCAAAGTTTCCTACTCGGCGGTGTGGCAATTTTTCGTCAAGCCGCCCGAGGAAGTAAACGTAGCCGTATGTCGACTATGTGGCCAGAAAGTCAAGCGTGGCCAGGGGGCCCATGTTGGGACTACAGCGTTGCGGCAGCATATGCAGCGTCGCCATTTGGTGGCCTGGGAAAACCGTGATAAAGATACGGCGGTTCTGCCCGCCCCAGCCCCCGCTCCATCACCCGCTCCGTTACTTGCTCCGTCACCCGACGTCAATCGCCCTCCATCAGCCAGTCAAGGCTCCAACACCTCTGCTGAGGGGAGTTGTCGCTCGTTGGCATCTTCCGCTCGTTCAGATGCTCCTTCTCCTGCTACTCCTCTTCACGGATTCCGTCAGCAGTCTTTCTTGGAATCCGTTTCCAAGAGACAACAGTTTGCGAGCACGCACCCGACGGTGCAAAAGCTGAACGTCCTCCTGTCCAAGTTGCTGGTGCTGCAGTCCCTCCCTTTCCAAGTGGTGGACTCAGCACCTTTCCGAGAAATGATGGCTTGTGCCGCGCCGCGGTGGAGAGTGCCAAGCCGTCATTTCTTCGCCAAAAAGGCAGTGCCAGCCCTGCATTCACATGTAGAAGACATGGTGGGCCAGTCTTTGAGCATGTCGGTCTCTGCCAAAGTGCACGGCAGCGCCGACGTGTGGAGCTGTAACTACGGTCAGGGACAGTACATGTCATTTACGGCCCACTGGGTGAACGTGGTGCCGTCACAGCCGCACCAGCAACTTGGACAGGTCACGCCGCTTTTGCCTCCACGTTTGCACGTCCTTGGTCCACAAAAGATGTCCGCCTCTACCACCTCTTCTTCCGCCGTGTCCTCAGCCGCCACCCCCCCCGTGCCAAGTCCCATTACCCGACCGGCATATCACATGTGCAGGGGCGCAACGGTGTCACGCTGTTCTGCACCTGGTATGCCTTGGCGAACGTAGTCACACAGGGGAGGAACTTCTCAGTGTAATGAACAGAGAAATCGACAGATGGCTGTCTCCGCGCAAACTGAAAATCGGAACCATGTTGACCGACAACGGAAAGAACATGGTGTCTGCTCTGCGTCAAGGAAGGTTGTGCCATGCGCCATGCATGGCTCACGTGTTCAATCTGGTTGTCAAGCGGTTCCTAAAATCCACCATCCCACTGCAAGACATCCTTAAAATGTCACGTAAACTTTGCATGCATTTCAGCCATTCCTACACCGCAAAGCACACCCTCCTTGAGCTGCAGCGGCAGAACGGAATTCCACAGCATCGCCTGATCTGCGACGTTGCAACAAGGTGGAATTCAACCCTACACATGTTAGACCGCCTTTACGAACAGCGAAAGGCCATCACCGATTTCCTGATGTTACAAGCGGATAAAGGTACTCCCCTGTGTAACTTCGATGTCAGCCATTGGCAGCTCATGCGTGACACCTGCCGCTTGCTCAGGCCCTTTGAGGAGGCCACGCTATTCGTGAGTCGGCAGGACTATGGGATGAACGACGTCATTCCTCTGTTGCACGTCCTGGAACAAATGCTGTTAACAATGGCTGGTCAGGGTGCGGTAGACGTGGCGCACAGATCTCAACGCCACATGACCCCTGTGGGGGCAGGACAGGAAGAAGAGGAGGAGGTAGAGGAGGACATTTGTGCTCAGGAATTATTGAGTGAAATGGGTGGTTTTTCCACTCAGCGGACAGGAGTGGAGGAGCAGGAGCATCTGGTAGAGGAGGAGGAGGAGGAGACAGAGGACCCAGACGCACCGTGGCAGTATGCTGTGGAGATGGAGGCAGGGAGTCCCTCGCATTCCTTGGCACAAATGGCCCATAGCATGCTCGCTTGCTTGCGTAGCGACAGCCGAATAATAACCATCAGACAGAGGGATGACTTTTGGCTGTCCACCTTGTTGGACCCTCGCTACCGTTCAAAAATGGTGGCCTTTTTCACACCTGCTGAGAGGGAGGCCAAAATAACGTACTATAAAAACCACCTATGTAGTCAGTTGGTCTCTGCCTTTGTGCGCCAACGTCCATCCTCAGACACTGTGGGCCCTGTGCGCTCGCGTTCCGCTGCCATGGCAGCAGGGGAGGGGTGGGGTGGTAGGAGCAGTGGCAGCTCCACCAGCAGCGGCTGCCTCAGTCTGCAGTCGATGATGAGTAGCTTTCTTCACCAGCGCAGTGAGGAAACTACTAACCAGCCAGCAGCAGCAGCAGCATCATCAGGTGGACCTGGAGCAGGACCTCAAACAACAGGCTTGGGCCTACTTGGACAGCACCCTGCCAACCGAGGTAGACAATCCCCTTGACTACTGGGCAACGAAACTTGACCTTTGGCCCCAACTAGCTGAATTTGCCCTTGAAAGGCTGTCATGCCCGGCCAGTAGCGTGGCATCGGAGCGCGTGTTTAGTGCGGCAGGAGGTATTGCAACTCCGCGGAGGACACGACTGTCCACCCAAAGTGTGGAGAGACTCACGTTTGTGAAAATGAATCAGGCGTGGATTAGTCTGGATTTCAAACCACTAGTTCCTGACACAACTGACTAAATCCGCCATGAATCATGCCCCAAACATGTGCCACTTTCAGGTCTCCTCACACATGCTGGTGTGTTCCTTTTTTGTATAGGGTGCTGGCAGATTACGGGCCTCCTTACTGCTGCCAGCCCCTACTCTGCCATGGGCCCCTGTACCGCCTCCTCTTGCTGCTGCCAGGTCCAGAGTGTGTCATGGGTCCCTGTACGGCCTCCCATTGCTGCTGTCTCCATCGCCACACTCTGCCATGTGCCACTTTCAGGTCTCCTCACACTGCTGGTGGGTTCCATTTTTTGTCATAGGTGCTGGCAGATTACGGGCCTCCCATAGCTGCTGCCAGGCCCCTAATCTGCCATGGGCCCCTACCGACTCCTCATGCTGCTGCCAGGCCCGTAATCTGTCATGGGCCCCTGTACCGCCTCCTCATGCTGCTGCCAGGTCCAGAGTCTGTCATGGGTCCCTGTACGGCCTCCCATTGCTGCTGTCTCCATCGCCACACTCTGCCATGTGCCACTTTCAGGTCTCCTCACACTGCTGGTGTGTTCCATTTTTTGACATAGGGTGCTGGCAGATTACGGGCCTCCCATAGCTGCTGCCAGGCCCCTAATCTGCCATCCCCTGTACCATCCTAATGGCCCCGTAATATGGGCCCCTGTACCGCCTCCTCATGCTGCTGCCAGGTCCACAGTCTCTCATGGGTCCCTGTACGGCCTCCCATTGCTGCTGTCTCCATCGCCACACTCTGCCATGTGCCACTTTCAGGTCTCCTCACACACTGCTGGTGTGTTCAATTTTTTGTCATAGGGTGCTGGCAGATTACGGGCCTCCCATTGCTGCTGCCAGGCCTGTAATCTGCCATGGGCCCCGGTACCGCCTGGTCACGCTGCTGCTGGGTCCACAGTGTGACATGGGTCCCTGTACCGCCTCCCATTGCTGCCCACTCTGCCATGTGCCACTTTCAGGTCTCCTCACACTCCTGCTGGTTTCCATTTTGTCATAGGTTGCTGGCAGATTACAGGCCTCCTATAGGTGCTGCCAGGCCCCAAATCTGCCATGGGCCCCCGTACCGCCTCGTCACGCTGCTGCTGGGTCCACAGTGTGACATGGGTCCCTGTACCGCCTCCCATTGCTCCCACTCTGCCATGTGCCACTTTCAGGTCTCCTCACACTCCTGCTGGTTTCCATTTTGCCATAGGTTGCTGTATGGCCTCCATTGCTGCTGCCTCCACCGCCACACTGTGGCTCCAAACACTGGTTTTGGCCCCGTGACTGCCCAAATGAGTGAAGTGTGCGGTGATTCTAAGATCGACGGCACTCATCTGCATGTCATACTCACTGACAGTATTATTTCTCTTCCCCAGCAGACTCCAATGGCATTTAAATTAAAGGTACAGTGTTCTGCACTAATATTAAGTCTCTCTGAAGCCTAGAAACACCCTTTTTTAAGTTAAATTCACAGCGAATATATTCGACTCGAATCGAATATTTTCCACGAATTCGCCGAATCAGTCGAATCGAATTTTTGAATACTTCGCTCATCTCTAGTTATAAACATGCTCTCGCAATCTATCGCATAATCTTCTACTTGTTCTGCCAGCGTATTGCTTTTTACAGGGACATTCTAACAGATACACAACATGAGTACTGTTGCAGGTAATTACAGTAGTTTGTCAATATCATAATTTTTAGAGGTCACATTAGATCTAAAATTATTAATTTTCTTTTTCCTAAAACCATTACAAGTGGATATCATGCACTTGTTGCAAGGGTAAAAACCTTTTAGTGCTCCTGAGAAAGAAATCCTAGCAGGTGGATTGACTATGTTAGGGGCTATGCAGTTTTTAAGAGTTGGTGCTCTTCGAAAAGCTATTTCAGGGTAGTCAAATTCCCGAGGATCGGGTCATTTTTAAGGATACTCCAGTTTTTCCTCATAATTTTTGAAATTTCCTTGTATTGCACTGAACAATTGGTCACAAATGGGCAAACACGTGCCGGCTTACTGTTGTTGTTAGAGATCATCTCTATTCAGATGCGCCACCTCAGTGATATTTTTATTCAAGTCTGAGGTGTCATAGCCCTTTTCAATAAATCTATTTCTAAGAAGATCTGCTTGAGTATAGTAATCATCCAAATTATTACAGTTTCTCCTTATACGTAAAAATTGTCGTTTGGGAATGTTATTAAGCCATGAGGGATGATGGCAACTGTCTGTAGGGATATAACTGTTGCGATCCTTACATTTAAAAAAGGTTTTGGTGATAATTCTAGTACCAGCATTAAAAAGAGTTAGATCTAAAAAAATTAATATCAGTAAAACGAAATTGATAGGTCAGATTAATATTATGATTATTAAAATTCAAAGTGTTAAAAAAAATTGTTAAAGAAAACTCACTACCCTGCCAAAGTAAAAAAATATAGTCTATATATCTCTTATAGAATACTAACTGATTTTACGTCTGGTGAGTGCAAGCACACCCCTTTTTCTCATCTGCCCAGGGGTGTAGATGTACTCTCTCAGATCCTCTCCGGTACTGCTGGTGGGTTGGTTGCTGCTACCAGGTCTATCAGTTGGGCCACTACTTCCCCCTGCCACACAGTTGGTCCTCGCTCAGGGGGCCAGTGAGCTCAAAGCTTTCCCCTTTTCAGTCCCAGGCCTGCAGGTAGGCCCCATCCCACTGGGCCTCCTCATAGCCTCCTTCCTTCTGCCTCTCATCTTCCTCTCTATCTTCCACCCGAAGTCTCTCAATTGAGCATGCTCCAACACTTTTAAGGGTGTTGGGCAGTGAGCACAGGGCCCCCTAGAGGATGGCAGGCCCTCAGGCCACCCTCATGAAGTCTGTTTCTGATTGTTTGGTCAGATACATTCACACCAGTAGCCTGCTGGAGGTCATTTTGTAGGGCTCTGACAGTGCTCATCCTGTTCCTCCTTGCACAAAGGAGCAGATACCGGTCCTGCTGATAGGTTAAGGACTTTCTACGGCCCTGTTTAGCTCTCCTAGAGTCACTGCCTGTCTCCGGGAATCTCCTCCATGCTCTTGAGACTGTGCCGAGAGACACAGCAAAACTTCTGGCAATGGCACGTATTGATGTGCCATCTTGGAGGAGTTGGACTGCCTGTACAACCTCTGTAGGGTCCAGGTGTGGCTTCATGCTACCAGTAGTGACACTGACCCTAGCCAAATGCAAAACTAGTGAAAAACAGTCTGAAAAGATGAGTAGGAGAAAAAATGTCAGTGGCCTCCACCTGTAAAACCATTCCTGTTTTGGGGGTTGTCTCATTGTTGTCCATCTAGTGCACCTGCTGTTAATGTCATTAACACCAAAGCAACTGAAACTGATTAACAACCCCCTCTGCTACTTACCTGACCAGATAAATATTCCAGGAGTTTCATTGACTTGATGCTAGACTTGGATTAAAAAGTGTTCCTTTCATTTTTTGAGCTGTGTATATACAACTGTATAGACCAGACCAAAATGAGGAACAAATGAGGAGGAACAAGGGACAGAGGGACTTTCTTCCAAATCAGGGACAGTCTCTCAAAATCAGGGACAGTTTGGAGCTATGCTTCATGATTGTGCCTAGTGTTTTCTTATCTGGCTTGTAAATTTTAGTGTTGATTTAGGAGGAGATAAAAAAAAAACAATCTTGCAGAAACCTATCCAAAGGTCACCCAGACTGACACACACACTGTATGAACTCCAACATGACAGGGCAAAGAGCAATTACCATACCAAAACAGCTCTATCCCATAAACCCCCTCCCTGTCATGTAAAGTAAGTCCTAGTTATTTATCTCTTTCCTTACCGATTGTTGCATAATGACTTTACTAACAATAAAACAGCAGCACAATAATGTTTACTGTCCTTGTTTAACCTTTTTTGCAGCCAGGAGTATTCTTTTTTCAGTTGTTTTTTTTTTTAATTTGTAGGCATGTTTACAAAATCATTTTAGGCCTGATGATTACTTAAAACCACCAAAATATTTTACATTTTCTGAAAGCCAAGACCCTGGAGAATAAAATGGTGCTTGTTTCAATTTTATGTCACATGGCGTTAGCTCAACAGTTTTTCAAGCAATAAAATTCAGTACAAAAATACACTAAAATTATTTTTTGAGCACACAAACACAATATATTATCCAATCCAATAAGCTTCCAGGTTTTATTGCCAAGGTTAGAAGCTGATGGGCTACCATGCACAGCTGCACCAGATTCTAAGTGAACCAGCCTTAGTAAATCTCCCCCATTGCGTCAAGCCCTAATATTGTGTGTGTTGTGAAATGGCAACAAACTTCAGTACCCTACAGTCTTCACTCTGACGTGTATGGCGATGTGTAACGTGTAGCGTCATGGGCATTTTTGTCTACAGGCACGCCCAATCCATGTTTTCACTCATATGTGTATGTATGTGAGGGTGGGAGATCAACATCTTTCGAAGGGGTTTGAAGTGCTTAGGTGTAACAGATTTTTTTACTTTTTTTCACTATACTTTATGACATAGGACAGGGATCTCCAAACTTTCTAAATGTAGGGCCGGTTTACTGTCCATCAGACTTTCAGGGAGCTGGACTGTGGCCATTGGGAGTAGAAATTGTCCCAACATCAGTAGGAGTAAACAACACATCTTTGGTATTAGGCGGAGGAATAGTGCCCCTTAATTATTGTAAGTGGGAGGAATAGTGCACAATTGTTGGTGTCAGCAGGAGGAATAGTGCCTCATCATTGGTGGTAGTTTGAGGAATAGTGTCCTATTGTTTGTGTCATTGGGGGAAAATAATGCCCTACCATTGGTGTCGGTGGCAGGAATGGTGCCTCATCATCGGTGTCAATGGGAGGAATAGTGTCCTACTGTTGGTGTTATTAGAAGGAAATAGTGCCCCATCGTTGGTGTCAGTTGGTGGGAATAGTGCCCCATCGTTGGTGTCAATGGGAGAAATAGTGCCTCATTGTTGACGTAAGTAGCAGTAATTATGCCCCATTGTTGGTGAGAGAAAAGAAATAGTGTCCTGTATCAGTGGGAGTGTCAGGGCTCCCAGGTATGACCAGAGATGTGTGACTGACGCAGGGAAACGCAGACTTCATATATGGGATAAACAATATAATTTATTAACACTAACAATACAAACATAAACGCAGTGCAATACTAAACATACAGTGCAAACAAACCCAACCAACCACCCACAGATAACAGTACATACAAGCAAGCGTCGTCAGGCAGGCCGGGTCAATATCAAAATGGGCAGGTAGGTACAGGGGGAGCAAGCGGAGAATGGTCGGGTCACAGGCCAGGTTCAGCAGGTAGCAAGCAGCGTAGTACAGAGGGTCAGGCAGAGGGATGGTCAGGGTCACAAGCCAGGGATCAGAACAGGTAGCAAGCAGCGTAGTACAGAGGGTCAGGCAGAGGGATGGTCAGGGTCACAAGCCAGGGATCAGGACAGGTAGCAAGCAGCGTAGTACAGAGGGTCAGCAAAGGAACAGGATGCAGGACAGATACAGGGCCCAGGACAAACAGACGGCACCGAGTCGTCTGGCAAGACTGCGGGCACCGAGTCTTCTGGCAAGACTGCGGGCACCGAGTCAACTGGCGGAACTGCGGGCACCGAGTCGTCTGGCAAGACTGCGGGCACCGAGTCGTCTGGCAAGACTGCGGGCACCGAGTCGTCTGGCAAGACTGCGGGCACCGAGTCGTCTGGCAAGACTGCGGGCACCGAGTCGTCTGGCGGAACAGCGGGCGCCGAGTCGTCTGGCAAGACCGCGGGTACCGAGTCGTCTGGCAAGACCGCGGTACCGAGTCGTCTGGCGGAACAGCGGGCATTGAGTCGTCTGGCGGAACTGCGGGCACCGAGTTGTCTGGCAAGACTGCGGGCACCGAGTCGTCTGGCAAGACTGCGGGCACCGAGTCGTCTGGCAAGACTGCGGGCACCGAGTCGTCTGGCAAGACTGCGGGCACCGAGTCGTCTGGCAAGACTGCGGGCACCGAGTCGTCTGGCAAGACTGCGGGCACCGAGTCGTCTGGCGGAACAGCGGGCATCTGCGGGCACCGAGTCAGTCTGGCAAGATCGAGTCAACTGGCGGAACAGCGGGCACCGAGTCGTCTGGCAAGACTGCGGGCACCGAGTCGTCTGGCAAGACTGCGGGCACTGAGTCGTCTGGCGGAACAGCGGGCACCGAGTCGTCTGGCAAGACTGCGGGCACCGAGTCGTCTGGCAAGACTGCGGGCATCGAGTCAACTGGCGGAACAGCGGGCACCGAGTCGTCTGGCAAGACTGCGGGCACCGAGTCGTCTGGCGGAACAGCGGGCATCGAGTCAACTGGCGGAACAGCGGACGCCGAGTCGTCTGGCAAGACTGCGGGCACCGAGTCGTCTGGCAAGACCGCGGGCACCGAGTCGTCTGGCAAGACCGCGGGCACCG